ACATTAACATATTTATTGAAAACACAAATTTAATCAATAAGTAAAATTGTTACTTTCATATAGGCCTCACTTAATTAAATATAACAATATTGCCGGTAAGCAATTTCCGTTTCATTATCGATTTCAATTTTTCCTTTCAGGTATTTCTAAACTGGTTAAAAGTCCAAAAAAGTCATACCCTGCTGTACTGACGTTCAACAACGGAAGTTCAAATGCTGGTGGCGATAAGTCGGCAACTTTATCATATGGCTACAGAACTAGGCATGACGGGACCACCTACAATCAACATGGGATACTGAAGCGCAGCAGATCCCTAGACCAGTTAGAAGCTAAGGATGACGACGACACCGAGAGCCTTAATTCGGCCGCTACGATCAGTGTGTTCAGAAGTGTCCACTTTGACAGCACTAAACACCTTGGTGAAGGAAAGATGTCTGACACTGGATGGGCATCCTCTTCGAAAAACTCCACGTCGAATGGCGCCTCGGCATCAAAAACAGTCGCGCATGATCAAGATTACATACAACCACATGCTGTAAATAATGGAGCTGCTCCAAACACATATGATATTAAGTCTAGCAATCCACCATATGCCCGGGTTTCAGGCCGATCTAGTCTGAACAGTGGGAGTGCATCTCTAGATCATATTAATAATCAAACTCATAGACCTGCCACCCTGCCTCGTAACACAAAACTCCAATCTTTTAGTGACGGTAGAGATGACACCGCAGATAGTAGTAGAACTGGGAGGCAGTCCCAGAACAAAGGCCAACTTCAGCGATCGCAGTCAACATCAAGTTCAAAAGATCTAGATAATCTTGGTGTGATTAAATTGGTAGCGAGTACCCAAAACCTAGCATCAATGCCAAAATCTCCAGCACCTGTGACAACACTTTCTGTTCAATCCAGTCCTCAACATGATTTGTCGAGAGTTCATAATATAAGTCCTGCTCAATTGAGGGAACTGGAAGAACGTAACGAGAGAAAGATAAGAAGAACCGTGGATAAGATCTTGAGAAAACAAAGAGAAACGGGAGCTCCTTCACTTACTGGTACAAATCAAAAGTTGACAGTTTGGGAAAGTATGGTTCTTGAAATCCAGCGAACAATGGAGACACTCTACATTGAGAAGGTACAGAAGGAGCGACATCTAATACGCAAAGAGACCATCAAGGAACTTGAAGCTGAAAAGCCGCCAACCCAAGATAATGAAACACAAGCTAATCTTACAGTCGTTGAAGCCAGACCATTCATTAAGCCACAAGAGGTACAACATTCAAATTTTGAATCGCAGACTGATGAAATTCTAGAACCGGAAATAAGATACTCGATTTTAAAGACCCAGACAGACGATGTGCGCCAATATAACGCTGCCTCCCAAACCAAGGATCTTGAAGAAGTTGATATAATCGAATCACTTAAAGCTAGATTAAGAAACCTTCAGGAGGATTACGACAGACTAAGAAAACAACATAATGATAGATTGGAGGAGATGGAACAAGTCCGTATTGAGCTTAATCTCGAAATCACTCGACTTCGTGATCAATTAAAGGCTCAACCAACTTTCGAAAATTCCACCACACAACACTCACCCAGTATTCGAAGTGTCGGCTTCCAGACAAACAAACGACAGACGTCAAACCTTGTAACACTTACGGAAGAGACGCCGTCGTATAATGCTGGAACACAAACAAGTGACTTGGCTGAAATTGAAATTATTTCTGAACTGCAGATGAAATTGGCCAACTTGGAGAGGGAACATCAGCAAATGGAGAGCTTGTATGAAGAGAAAGTGACGGAGATCAATACTATGACGCTCGAATATCAACAAAACGTGATGCACCTAGAGAGCAAGATCAAACCAGAACCTAAAATGTCAAATGTGAAAGTTCAAGTTAGTCCAGACGTTTATGATACGGGAATACAGTCCTCTATAAGAACATCTGATCTTTGGACTTACACCGACCCTGGCAAACAATACAAAGATTCATCTGACCTCCAGATCCAGGTGCATACTGTGACCAGAGACCAGAGTTCTTCAACAGTTGTAGCAGATCAGTGTGACATAGGAGTCCAATATTCACCAGCAACCAGGGATGCCTCAAACACAACAATTCTGTCGATGGCCGAGTTGGGAGAAATAGAAGAATATGCTAGTCTATATCGTCAAGAGAGGGAAGAGACTGAAATCGTAACCAAAAGGGTGAGATCAGAAACCCCTGAGCTGCCAGACAATTCATTGATGCTAAAATACCTGGAAACATCTGGAAACAGAAGTGACGACATTGTAACAGCAGTTGGTACTCTGCTAAGGTCGGAAGAAGCACATACAGTCTCATTGGAATCCATGAGACATATGGATGTTGAGACAACTACAGACCAAACCACGAGAGATTCGACAGGTGGATATTATTCAAAAGTAATTAACAGTAATGGATTTGGTGAAATTAATCGTCCAACGACGTCGTTAAAACACAGCAGTTCAAGAACGACGGACACTAACTATGCTAGTAATGGAGATAGTTATTGGTACGACAGAGACATGTCAGACGGTGGCAGAGAATACCACCATACAACATCTGGGACTTATTTCACTAACATGGGGCGGTCAACCAAATTAACAAGCACGCCCCAGAGTGATCGTGAGTACTCATTTGAAATAAGCACCTCAAGTATGGGTCGACCAAGTCTGGATTCAAATGGTTCTGTGAGCTCTGAGAGGTCTACCAGAAGATTTCTTAAGTACGGGCTCACAGGTCAACAACAGCAACCGATGGCAGATCCGAGGACTCGTAACTACGTAGCGGAGCCATGAGCTCATGTCTCTAGCATTGTGAATGTTCTAAAATCATGATCTTTAGCAATAGCTATTTTTAAGTCGCTGAACACTGCTCAATTTTAACAAATACTAGAAATAATCTATAGTATAATTTTATAAAAAAAAAAAGTTATTTCCTACAATATTACTGTATATAGTTCATTAATGTATATTTGGAACAAAAGACCGACGTCTTGGCAATAGACACAACTAGTACTAGTCACGCGTGACATTCAGATGGTATATAATACAGTGTATAAGTATAGCCCTGACGAAAATAAATGTCCGCATTAAACGGAAAAGAATGACCGTTCTCTTTGCATTTGGAAATGGTTTGGTGCAGCGGGGAAGGTTTGATTTCCCAACAACCTCGAGGTCAGGGTTTCATTCACTTACATTGCATTTCCCTTGTTGTCCTTGGGCAAGGCACTTTATCTGCATTGCTTCTCTCCACCCAGGAGTATAAGTGGGTACCTGGTAGGGTAAAATGGCAAAATGTGCTGATGTAGTAACTGTTGCTGCAACGTTATGGAATATTCCCCCATTGAACTTCAATTTGTGTTCCATAGGCGTTTAATCCAATGACCGGGGTAATGATAATGTGAAACGCATAGAAGGTTTAACAATTATGCGCTAAATGTCTACCATTATTATTTTTGGGGTTAGGATATTCACGCGCCAGAACTACCATAGAATCGTTGTGGCCTACGCAAAATACCAACTGAAGTTCACGTGATTCCACTGGCCAAATTGTGTTTATTGCTTAACAGTGTCTACAGGAGTACAATCATTTATAACTCGTACAAGTTTTTTTTTATAGTTTTTTTTTTATAACTTATTACTCCATTATTTTATATGTAGGCCTACTGGTAGTGTTAGGTTCAATATGGGAAAATGACGATAACATTTGTATCCATGCATTTAATGTTTGTACGTATTTGTCGATGCAAGATAACATAGGCCTATGCCATATCGTCATCGTAATAATTTAACTTGAATAATCCTGTTGTTTATGGTTTCGCAGAATTTGTATTTAGTGTTTCATGTTTCCTGGGCTGGTATGAAAGGCTAGAGATCTAATTTAGCATAATGTTGCATATAACATGCACGAACTTAAATTAATATTCTTGTATATTATTTTTCACTAAATCATTCAATGCAAGTTGAAATATTTGATACTGTTGCTTGAATGATTGCCATCGAGAAATTGTCGATAGTTCGTCAAAGCTGGTAGGCTAATTCTATGATCTATGGCTATGCAGGCCACATTTCAGACGAAATGGCCATTAGTAATGAATGTTTATGAGTGCAATTGGAAGAATATATTCATGAGTTGAAAAAAGGACTGTTCCATTCTTAGAAGCGCAGACGAGTTTAATGGAAATATTATTTCCATTATTCTTTACATTGTAACGCATTATGTTTTATAATACACCTTATTAGATCTTGTCATTTGATTTTATGAAAAAATTAATTAAAACATTGTACATGTAGTATTAGGCGGACGTGTACAAACGGAACAATAAATGGAACAAATTTAAGTGAATGAAATATAGTGCAAGTAAATTACATGAAGGATGACGCAAATCACACATTATGGATTACTTTGCCATAAAACTGTATGGGATACACAATGTCACGTGATCTTTTCAGATAAAATCCACCAATCAAATTACAAGGATCTGAGCCTATTTGGGTGCGTTATAGAAGCTCATTTGTTGATTGTGTTCAAGCACAGAGAAAATAGAACAGGTTCAAGTAACCGTTAATAAAAGGTATAAATCTAACTATTATGAATAAGTTTTAATGGTGAAATTTTTAACTTTATATATATGGAAATGTGGATGGTATCGAAATATACTTATGTGACGTGTTATTAAATCGCCTATTTAATATGGATACTGTTTGGACTGTTATTTCAAGCAAGTAGGCCTATCGGTCAGCCTTAAGTTTAATTGGTGGTATGAATAAATATTGGAATTGTATTGCATACGGAATGATTGAGAAAGTGTTTCTGTCAAAGGCATTTTGGGCTCACCGTTCATTTACCGGACAGTACTCGGTTGATATACAAAGAAACATCTATACATTTTCCTTGATAAAGATTCATCAGTCAGGTTAAGCATTTTGAATACAGGTCTCCACTTTTGGGACCGGCAATAAAAAAAATATCTTAAGTCAATAAATAATATAGTAAATGGTAAGATTGATTTATTCCGAGTGTTTTACAATGGATTACTGTATGCTTTTAATAAATCATTTCCTGCGCTCGCGCTTCAACCTAAATCCCCATTACAATATTACTAGCAACACCGTCCTGTAACCTCTCAGTTGGGTCTGTCAAAACCATCCATGAGTCTAAAAGAATTCCATAATTAAAGACCGGCATTATGGTCTTTATATTTCTCTTGTTAGAGGGTAATTAATAAATAATGCATTAATGTTTCACAATGGATGTACGATTACTGCATGCTGGCATCCACAACACACACCAAGTATCATCTTATGATGTGCATTGGCTACGGTAATATTTTATGTCATATTATAGAAAAAATAGCATTAACAGCATTATTTTTTTTTTATATAGTGGTCTTTTTTTTGTAGAAAAATCAAGTTGTAGCACATGTTTTTCCTCCTGAACCGGGTTTTAATGTAGCGTAGGGACACCAAGGATAAGGAGACAGACACTTATTAGGCTTAATATATTTTTATTCTTAATCCACGTCGTCATAATCATTACCATCATCATAAATCTATATTCATTATTTTTCTAAAAATGAAATGAAATATCGTTGTAAAGAAATCGTATAAACTAATTTTCTTGTAGTTTACACAAGAGGCATGTCAGATTGAACAGATATGCTGGGCTGACACAGGAACCTGACAGGAGTGAATTACTCCCTCTGGTTGAACTTGACACAGGGTGGATGAGTTAGAACCGTAATATTCTTGGTTGGCATCTAGACTTGTACCCTGTTCAGACTACACTCTGTTGCGATCGGTTGCAATGTTACGTAAACGGTGGTAATCGGCAGTAATCTTATTTAACTATCAAGAGACACATTCATATCGAGTTTATAAACGATCTATACATATCGAGTATTCTATAGGCCTCTATCGAATTTAATCATAGGCCTAGTTAATCCTACCAAAATAGTTTGAATACGATAATATTTGAATGAAATCGGGTTGAAATTAGGCCTATGTGTAAACTCGATTGGTGTAAACAATAGGGCCTATGTCATCATGGAAGTAAAGGGTAGTTCGTTTAGCTGTTTGGGTGGACAAAGTTAAATTTAACGGATTAAAAGATAATTCTATAATAATGACCAGAACTACGCTAACCAAAGCATGAAATTGTCCCCGTATTTTTACGATCCGATATTTACGAGGAATTCATTCTAATTTTAATTGAAAGCTAATATTGCATAGTAGTAGTAATCAAGTATTGTAAATATTCCATAGACGCGCAAACAAAAGTTTGCTCGAAACCATCACAATAGGTGGCTCACTTTCAATAATTGATGTGCGAATAATCAGCACGGTGAACACGTCATCGTAAACGATCAAAACAACACTATCGAATTGCGCTTCTGGGACGGATCACACACTGTAGAGCTTGTGAATTGTCAACGGGAAGAAGAGGCTGGGCCACTCAGGTGTCCGATTGTCGGGAGTCGAGAATGACATAGCCTAGGCCGTAGGCCTACCTAGTCTTTAGGATGGTGAACACAATCATGGCGAAGAAGAGACTCCACAGGACAACAATATTGTTATTTGTTTGTATTATATCAAGGTAAGAATGTCCAGTTTGGCAACATATAACAGTACTGGGCCTAGGTACGAGTCTTTTATGCCTAATAGCCTAATTAATACTAATAGGGCCTAGGTCCTAGGCCCCCAAGCCTAGTTAGTTTATTAAAGTTAAGTCAGTCAATTAAACCATGCAGAAAACTTTGCAAAAACATAGGGAAACATGGGTAGAAGAAGAATAACAGAACAAAAAAACTTGCTTAAGGCCCATAAAAAAAAATAAAAATATTAGTTTATCACCCTATCAAAGAATAAAAACTGATGAGGGAGGGAGGTTTTTTTTTTTTTTTGAGGGGGGGAGGTTTTTTTTTTTTTTTTTTTTGCTAATAAATCTGCCACCATTTTACCGATGTTCACAAGTCAATCATATATAAAAAGTCATAAGAATGGAATCAAATTTATATTTTAAAAATATGTTTTTGTTGTAGCAACATATGCAAGAAATCCTGAACTTTTCGAATGAAAAAAGATGGAAAAACGACCGTTTGAAATAAAAATATATGTTGATTTGAAAAAAAAAAGAAAGAAAAAAAAGAGAGCATTGACTATGTGTAGCCTAGGTCCACACAATTTTCCAAAAGAACAGGCGTTGTGATGAACAAGGGCTATGTACCCAGCTTTTGCATACACTAGGCCTAGGCTTTTCTTTCCACCAACTAGTAAAATAAATTAGAACAAGCTGAGCTGAGGTCCCCGACGAGAGCAAAGTGGGCGTGGTCAGATGCTGCTAAAAATCTTTTGAAAAGTGGTCCTAGGAAACGAAGCCCCCGAAAAAATATGACATTTGGGGGTTTCATATGCTTATTTAACTGATTTTATAGATAGTCTACTATCTATTATATATGTAGAAAATACATGTTTTGTTTTCTCCCCGCAGCGTGTTTTTTTTTTTTTTGGGTAGTGGTGGGAGCGCAGAATGGGGAAGGGAAAGAAAATGATCTTGGGGTAAATTCCCCTTTCCCCCATAGCGCCGCCACTGAGAATAAGAGAGCGTACTCCCATAATTATTAGTTACCTCTTTGTTTCCACTTACATAAGGACTCACCATCAAAGTTGAGTAAAATAATTTTGACCACATTTTGTATAAAAATTGTTCCAAAACCTTTACTTACCTTTGATCATTTTCTTTCAGAGGAAAATCAGCAAGCACGAATCCAACACCATTTTTTAAACATTATATTTCATTTATTCACCTCTTCAATATATACAAAAAAGAGGACAGACACAAAATGGACAGACAAAAGGAGGTTAGCTTCCCAAAAAGAGATTGTAGGGTTGCCAAATGAAACTATCTAAAGGATAGTTGTACAGATAATTTATTGCTCTTTTTTTATAATGACATTTCTGACAATAAAATTGATCGGCAAAGAAACAATACTGTTGCTAAACATAAAACATGGTTATATTTTCTATTGAATATTTTTGTTTTGGAGGCGTCTATTCAGCTGGTTGGTGAAGCATCCATACAACATAAATTGGCAGAAATATTACTAAAAAAGAACTTTCCATACAGTTATTTGTATTGTAACATGATTAAATAGACCTACTTCTGAGATCATGTTGAAAGTTTAGATTGGCTGTAATCCAGCTATTTGAGGAAGATAAATAATTAGTATTTTAGTATAATGTGTATCAAAATTATTGTATTGAATAACAAACAATATTCCAAATACTTTTAAGCTTTTTTGATGCGTAGGAAGCGAGTAGGCCTACTGTAATTCTCATGATTAATGACGGTACTAATGTCAACTAGAGAGGGCGCTTTGCATTACGTTATGCCAGCGAATGCAAAGCCTAGGCAAGCGAATGGTGAAAAATTACTTGATTTTGGGATGCGTTATTACGATAAGATCTCCAGATTAAATTAGTGGATCGTATTTCAAAATTTTCCTTCTTGAATGTTATTGACACATGAGCTTTCAGGGTTACGCCAATAGAATTAAGAAATTATTGAAATAAATGTTTGCTCTGGAATCCTTACACATAAAATCGCCAGCGAATAATGCTTCCCTGGTTGGGCCTACGCCTTGCGTTGCCGTAAGCCTGTCATCGGCGTAAGCATAGCATATAATTAATGTTTACACCTCGGTGTAAGCATCAACACTTTGATAAAAAAACTAGGCCTAGGTACGTATTGGCAACACTGTAAATTAAAAATAAAATATATTTTATTTGAACAGAGGATACATAAAAAAAAAAAATTAACATTGCATGGAAAATCTCTGTGTAAAAAGGTATGCAGAATTATAACACTGTAATACACTACAAGTGGTATCTGCAGACACGCCTAATTTTTTGAAAAATTTCCACAGAAATAGAGTAGGCCCGTATTTAATGTGCAGAAAGATTTTTTTGAGTGGGGATATGTTTGCAGTTTGACACACAACCGCACACAGTATGCATTGAGTGAATAGAAGTAGTAAGAAAAGCATATTTTTGCATTTTTCAAAATGCTAGATATTAGCAGGTTCTCTTGAATATTATATGTTCAGAATGACCTTTATTTATAAACCGATATCAACAGCGTGCATTAAACAGAGCTAGTGTCCACCATCTGTTTGTTTCCCAGTAATTTTGAATAATATTGGTTATTTGCCATCTTGTAGAATTTAATTTGATGTAAACTTTATCTGCGTAATTCAAAATGCACCGAGTGAAAAAGGAATAACAGTATCACAATTAAGATATTATAAGCCACTGCACATAGTTTTGCCAAAAAAATCAAGTCATCTCTCTGTGACTGATCCTAAACTACACAGTTACAAAAGAACTTATCATTTTCTGTTAATCCATTAACAGTCTTGTTATCAATGATACCTGCTGTATAGTCGTGTGAATTAATCAAAATTAAACAGCGAAGATCAAATTCGATGACTGACATTTTCTTTGTGTAAAATTTAGAGCATTGTACCACTCCCTCCTTGGTGGCAGTTAGCTGTACCTAAAGGTTAATTTTTTTTTCTCTCACTCATTTTAGCTTGTTGTTCAGCCTATCCTTGTGCACAGATCACGCGCGACACAGTTACAAAAGAACTTACCATTTTCTGTAAGAAAATATTTAACAGTCTTATTATCAATGATACCCTCTGTATACTCTTGTGCATTTTGAATGAATCAAAATTAAACAGCAAAGATCAGAGAATGTTAAATTCGATTTACTGACATTTTTTTTTTTTTTGTAAAATTTAGAGCATTGTACCACTCTCTCATTGGTGGCAGTTAGCTGTACCTAAAGGTTAATTTTCTTTTTCTTTCACTCATTTTAGCTTGTTGTTCAGCCTATCCGTGTGCACAGATCACGCGCGACACAAGCCAACCGAAGCAAACAGTCACGCCAGCGGTGGCCAAACACAGGAAAGTCAAGCTAAAGAAAATATTCTACCAACAGTAAGAAATATATTGTCATTTGGTTTTATTTGTTGCTACCAGTATTTTTAACTGAAAGTAAAGTACCTACTGAGTGTAATTTGATATAGTAAGCAAGTTTATTATAACTCTCTTGAGTTCCCATTTTAATTTTGTGGGGAGAAGAGAAAGTCGGTGGAAAGCTCTCAGGTGATAGAGAGAGAGAGAGCGTTTGGAACAGAATTGTCAACTTTACAAACAAAAAATGCCATCATGTCCAAATAAATACTTCCATCATTTTGAAGTGCATTCTGGGTATTATGATAATGTCATGTACTATACAGTATCAACATAATATCAACCACCTACAGAGACGTACACCTGTAATATCAACCACCTACAGAGACCGTGAGGAATCAAAAGGCAGTTACAATGCAGTCCTAATCTTGGTATTACATATCAACCAATGGCAAAAAATAATAAAAACACACCCTTCCATAGATAGTACAGTAACTTAATAATTTAGTTTTGATTTATTGTGAAATATTTCATAGCACACATTATAATCTTGATGGTGTTTGTCAATAGCATAAAGTCAATTTGTTTATATTTTACTGACATTGTTAAAGTTCACTCCTGTCTGGGAGTGACCAAATAAATCTTGGTAGAACGATACACTAAATAATATCTGAAGGGCAGATATTGTGATGAAATTCATCTTGGATAAGGCTATAGTTAGGACTCAGTCAAGGCTTAGGATACAATACAGTAGAGCAGAAAAATGAGAAGGAAACAGATACCCATACACAATATTTGTAACAAACATGACCCAAGTAGATAATAATGATAAGAATGAAATTCAAATAAGTGAAATTTGTGATAACACCAGGATTTGGAAGATATGTTTTGATTTTTTTTAAATTACTTTTTTGCTTCATCTTTTAAAAAATCACTTACTTTTTGCTCACTTCACAGTGAAAACCACTGTAATGTGTTGAGTAATAAAACTAAAACATGAAAAAGAATTTTAAAATGTTGACAAGTATTTGAAATGCAATTAAGACTAGAATTTAATTTTGAAAATCATGATTCCAACATATCCAACAGGCATCATGCTGTAAAACAAACCTCAACAAATACACCACAACATGCAAGAGTCCACTATAAACAAAACAAGTATTATCTTATTAAATTGCCAAAAAAAAAAAATTATACTGTACAGAGAAGAGCCTGGTAAAACCAATGATGTTTAACACCAGAAATCTATTCAAGTTCAGTAACATTTATGAAGAATAAACCTACTGTATTATTGAGTTGACATTCAAACAGAAAGTTGAATAACTATGGTCTCCCTGTCTGCATTCAGCCCCTATGTCTTTGTGTGTGTATTGAGTGAGGATGTGGAACTTTATTGTGTATTCATGTTTTTCAATCATTAGTGTAGATTTCCAGTTGTGGGGAGGTTGACAAGTTTTTTGGGGCATGGCACCACCCAAGCCCCTGTAGATTTGCCGACTACAATCTCCACTGGTCAGTGGTATACAAATCTTTCCCATTATGTTATGTAAAAGCTGAAAATATATTTTTGTTAAAATGCAGTGTTCTCAACCAGAAAATTCATTTATATGATCATTAATAAGAAATTAATGTGACAGAATGCTCACAACTAGATCAATATTTAATGGTTTAAAAATGACTTTCATTTTCTATAAATTAGCCATTTCCCAGATGGCAAGGTCGACATCTAAAATGCAACATTCAATATTAAGGTCAGATGTTATTAAGCAGAAAAAAAAATATAAAAAATTCTCAAAAGTTTACCAATATGGTGTTAGAATACTGTAGGTCAGTTTTTTTTTTGTAATGGTTTGGATCAGTTAAATTTTAGAGCAGTTTGCATAAAATTTTAATAACAATCAGCTAATATTTGAAATGAAGAAGAATACCTCCTCATTTTCCATTCAGGTTTAGAATAAAGGTCATTGTAATATTAAAATTAATATTATTCAGGTTTAGAAAATTAGGTCATTGTAATATTAAAATTAATATTATTAAATTTGCCATATTGTATATTAAAGTTAGGTTTGTACAGTGATGGTTAAAATAAAAACACTTGTCAGGCACATTAGAATGTTCAACATGTTTGATAAGATTCAGCCTGTTACATACAAGTAGTATTACATCTGTCTAGAGGAAGAAAGAGGTATCTGTGATAATGCAATTTTACATTGTGGAAATTAATTTTCTATCATTGCAGTACAGTATCCCTATACATCTATAGGAATGAAAATTAATATTTTATGTAACATTTGTACAGCACATGTTTACCAATGGCACATATATTACATACCACTGGTGCTGGATAATTGAATATTCTAGAATACATCGTTTACTGCAAAAGTGAACATTCAGTAAGAATTTCAAAATCTGCATTTTAATGACATTTCATTATTTGAGAGTCTGAGGATGAAAAAAAAAGGAAAGATGTATAAAAATATCGTACCACTCATTCACACAGGTGTTAATCTTACCACCACCACCAGCAGTTTAGAATAATTTAAGTACTTATTCAATCAGGAGTGCTCTTATCATAGAGCAGTAATACCTGTAAACTGGAGGGATTGCAAGCCTTCGTTGAATCATTCCAGTCACGCTTTTATCGCTGATTACAGTCAATAAAATTTGCCAATTATCTTATGAGTAGGGGACCTCCATATTGTTGAATTTCCATAATTTTGTTGAATCAGTGTTGCTGTTATCATGAGCAAGCTGGATAGATTGCAAGACTTGTTGAATTACTCCGACCACGCTTTTACCGCCACTAATAATAAAAATTGTCAATTATCATATGAATGGTGGTCTTCATATTATGTAATAATATCCCACAAATCAATTCAGATAGTACAGAGTGCAACATATGTGGAAATGGAGATTGTATCCTGGTGTAACCTAAATGTTGACATGTCAGTTTGTCTAATAAAGCAGTATACTGAAATTTATGTTAAAAGAAATGCTAAGCTACATCATGGACCTATTAATAAGATAATCTTATTAATAGATCCATGGCTACATTAAGAGAGAATTTTAATAATAGTCACTACTGTTAGGAATTTTGATATGCAGTATGTATCTAAAAATATAAATTAACATTATCGGCAAAATATTGGGTGTGTAGTACAGTAAGGAAAACTAAGCATGCTTAATAAATACCTTCATTTGTGACAGCGTCAAAATAATTGATGAAGCATCTGTGTTCAACCATGGAGTGTTTGAAAAATTACATCTATTCAAGTAAAAAATTTGTTTAATTTTCTTTTACCGGGTTTTTACACACATTTTAGGTTAAATTATAATTGACTTTGTTATTTACAGATACATGCAACTTCAAATGGTGCTAAGACAGTTGAACATGATGAAGACGAGAAAGATGAAGATGAATTAGTGCCCAACCCTGTCATCTTTGAATCATTTTTACCATCACAAGAAAAGTAAGATACTGTATCGCTGTTTGCTATATTTCTCATTAATAATATAATATGCAGGCATCAAATCGTACAGGTACAAGTCACTCCATTTGAAATGTGAGAAATAAAGATTTTATTTGACGTAAGCAGATGTTGTAAAAATGAATATAAAATTAAATTTTTATCCAAAATCATTGATAAGTTCATGAAACATGGTACAAAAGTCATGCTAACACTACTGTCATCACCTGGATATTTCATTTTAACATGCCTAGAAGGATGAATGTTAATGGGTGTGATGACCGCCACTTTAAAGCACAGTAAAAAATATTAATGGAGTGGCTGTGGTATTAAACAGGAATCTTATCCAAATATGGACAGTGAAACTATATAAACACAGTCAAAGTGATAATGATCGTGTTTCTGCAGTAGTCACAAATATACATACAAAATTGCTTTTTCTATGATTGAATTTCCATGGTGACTAGAATGATTGGCAGTTCTTATGATGCACAAGTCCATTGAATTGGAAATGTATACTGTCTTTAGATGATTTAATGAGTATAAACTGGCAATCTTCTCTACTATGTTTTTCAATTCGCTACTGTATTTTTTTTTTACAAAATGTGCATTCCCAACAGTTAATATAATATTGTAATGTTGATGAGGGGCCGGCATCCATTTTATTATACCTGTTGAATAAAACATGTTCAGTCATTTAATCTTATTATTAGATGTGATGTAATTTTTAACCAAATCTTTTTAACAAAATCTTTCAAATATAATATAGTATATTTTTTATTGTATTTTTAAAAAAAATATAATTTATATAAGGCCCAATTAAAATGTGTCTGTACTGACAGTAGTCCCTCCCCTTCTTTGTTTTTAAACAAAAATTTTCCCTTTAAACATTTTAAGAATATTACGAATAATTTTGTAATCATTGCCTATACACATAATATTGATAGTAGAACCACAGAAAACACTTTCTATTCCCAAATATAAATAGTATTCATTTTTATAGGTCTTGTCAATGGAAAATATATACCTTTAGATTTGTATATTTTTAAATGCTTAATATTCCAAACAGCCTGTGTGATAGCAATGTTACCATAATAGTACTGAACAAAATGAATTTCACCAAATGGCGTAATTTTTTATTAGTTCGGGGCTTGTAAATTACAAATTTTCCTTTGTATTTTGTTTCCATCAGGTGTTCAAATACTCTATTTTTGTATTGCACTTTAGTCAAAATCTTACATTTGAGCTCATAAGGAATGTTTTATAGTTTTGTTATGTTATTTGGATTCAATGAAAGCACAATATGTCACTTATCACCATATGTTGCAAGTTAAACATTTCATGAAAAGAAAAATTATCTCTAATTTAGTTCATGCTTGGAACTGTTGGTAGCTATAAATCGATATTTTAACATTTTATAAAATTTAATGAATGACTGTAGAGTAATTGTATTTTATTTCTACTGTATATTAATACTTTTTTTTATACTGTACCTTGTTTTGCAAACTTATTCTTTTAAAGATCGTCAAAGGAGAGTGGGAAAAAATAAAAATATAAAATTTGGTTTTCTTATTTAGCAAATGGATTTGCCAAAAGCATCCAGACGGAAAAAAATAAAAATTAAATATTGTTGAATTGAATCAGTGTAGTAATGGAATGGTTAAATGCTTGAAATTTATATAATTAGGAAGAAATAAACATATCTTATTTTTGGAGATTTCAAGGCAGCGGCGGACGTAATGAAAAATAAAGAATAACTTTTATTTTTTTTCTAAAATTTATAGTTTTTCATGCGGCAGGTGCGGTAATTTGCCAAAAATTAAATTCTATTTTTATCTGAAATCATAAATATTGGCGGACGGCAGGTTTGCAAAACAAGGTATTCCTAAAAGTACAGTAGTCTTGATAGAGTTGTCCTCTATACTTTTTTTACCTCGCACACTCACATTTTGTTATTTTTACAAAGAATGCTCTTTATATATTCACCTCAACCTAGATATTTGTAGCTATTAAGAATGAAAAACCAAACTTTTTTTTCTGATGCCCTCCTAATTACTGTATAATTACAGTCTTCTGCTGAAAAGTGCGGTTACAGTATCACTTAATTACCATATTATTATACAAGTTTACAAAGATGAAATACACTCTATAAAGTGCAAAATGATTTTAAATTTGTATTGTTGATAATTAATGTGCAATATTAATATTACTTAACTTACTACTATGCTATAGTACAAACTGCAGGACAGTTAATATTGATACTAGTGTGTTTGAAAATAATAATAATGTTTATATTTCATAGCTTGTTTCTTTTCCAATTTCTGCTACATTTGCCTTGGCACATGACCAAATGTATTCTGACATTTTCTCAGGAAGTGTGTTCCTTCATATGATTAAAACTTCTGCAAAGATACTTGATCACTTTTTTTTGCACATAGCATCTTCATTGCTTTACACTCAACAAGCAAGTCAACAACATCTTCTAATTCAGTGCAAATCAAATAGTCTGTAATGAGTGGTGTGGATATTGGAATATCCTGTACCACACCTCCAGTAGCTAATAACCTACATACCCACCCATCTATAGAATCATTGACACTGCATTTTATTTTCATTACTTTGCGTAGTGGGTTGAGTATACTGTACAGCAGCGGTTCCAAAAATATGGGTCGTGACTCAAAATTGGTTACCAAATATAATTAGTGGGTTGATCACAAGACTCTAGAATTTCTCTTAAATTGAATTTTGTATCGTGCTGAATATTGCTATAGTAAAGAGAGCTCATTTTATTAGTATTATTTAACCATTTTACTTTAATTTTGTTATGGCCCATTTCGAGTATCTGTTTTTTAATATTCCGGGAAGAGGGTAAGGCCAATTTGCCTGTTTGTTTTGAGACGTTAGCTAAAAAGTTTGAGAACCACTGCAGTACAGTATTCATTTAATACTACATTATGAGTGATTTTCGAGCTATGGATGGGGCAATT